TGGCGTGCGTTCCAGCCATCATTATGTGCAGACTGACATCCTAGTACTGCACCTTACACTCAGCACTCAGCGGCCAGCATATTCTGGGGCAAGCCATCCTTGTATACACAGTATTTTAATGTTGACATTGCTACACTCGGCAAGGAGATGTAAGTCCACTGACATATTGTTAGTCTCCTCTGTGTATATACATTTATGTGAGGGTTAGCTCTCTGTTCTCCCTCCTACTCCATATTCTCAGTATTCAATATGTGTTACCAATCATTACTATTAATATCATTACTTTTTATACCATGAACTGCAGGTGCAGATAGATGGGCTACTATGGTCTTGTGCATATGCATTACACATTATGATAGTAAAATCAAACATGTATAATACGCTATGAGAAGATTTTTTTAATGTTCTTTTATGTATCATTTATGCATCTTATGATATTTGTGGTCAGTTTATTAGGTGGTTATGTTTATATTTCTGATGCTTTGTAAGAACAGCTCATGTGATGCTTATCTCCGCCCCTCGGCAAGTCAGTGATGGCCCACATGCACTTTCAGAAACAGCCTTTAGAGAACATATATAAGAGAGGAACAGGCATTTTGTTGGCTCTGAGGAAGAGGCAAGTCCTTGAAACGCGTTAGCCTGTTTGAAGTCCAAGGTTCCCATTGAAAATAGCCATGTAGTGTGGATTGGACAATGCTGTTTTTGGCGTGCCTTTTGACATGTATGTAATTTGTGAGTACGATACCTATTTTTATTACTGCAATAAATGTTTTTTACGGTAATGCAGTAGGCCAGTGCGCCTCTGCTTTTGTTTTCTTTATCCTGTTCTGAGTGGAACCTATCCTGTTAAACCTCTGTATGGTCTTGGCCACCGTGCTGCAGCTCAGTTTCAGGGTATTGGCAATCTAATAGCCTAGGCCATCTTTATGTAGAGCAACAATTCTTTTTTTTCAGATCCTCAGAGAGTTCTTTACCATGAGGTGCCATGTAGAACTTCCAGTGACCAGTATGAGAGAGTGAGAGCGATAACACCAAATTTAACACATCTGCTCCATATTCACACCTGAGACCTTGTAACACTAACAAGTCACATGACACCGGGGAGGGAAAAAGGCTAATTGGGCCCAATTTGGACATTTTTCACTTAGGGGTGTAGTCACTTTTGTTGCCACCGGTTTAGACATTAATGGCTGTGTTGAGTTATTTTGAAGGGGACAGCAAATTTACACTGTTATAAAAGCTTACTTTACATTGTAGCAAAGTGTCATTTCTTCAGTGTTGTCACATGGAAAGTTCACATTACACATTAGGAATTAAAACTAAATTAACTACTTGCCCACCAGAGGATTTACCCCCTTCCTGACCAGGCCATTTTTTGCGATACAGCACTGCATTAATTTATCTGACAATTGTGTGATCATGCAACACTGTACATAAATGAAATGTATGTAATTCCCCCCCCCCCCACAATTAGAGCTTTCTTTTAGTGGCATTTGATCACATCTGCGTTTTTTTTTTTTTTTTTTTTTTTACCTACAATTTTGAAAAAAAAAATATTTGACCACTTTGCTATAAAACATATGCAATAAAAATATTAAAAAAATCAAATTTTGTCATAAATTTAGGCCAAAATGTATTCCACTACATGTCTTTGCTAAGAAAAAAAAATCCCAATACGTGTACGTTAATTGGTTTGCATGAAAGTTATAGCATCTACAAATGGTGGTATGGATACTGGAATTTTTATTTATTTTTTTATACTAGTAATGGCGGCGATAAGCAACTTATAGCAGAACTGTGTTTTTACTTACTCCAGCGCCCTGGCTACTTTGTTTCTTTTGCATTGCACTTTGGATCTGTCAATGCCAAGGAGCTATGGAGTGTATCAACCCTCCATGCCACTGAACCCTCAGTGAGTCTTCCATCCTCCTTCCCCCCAGGGGCTTTTCATTTTCACAATCACATTGGAACCTGTCCTTTGGCCATTCCCACAGTCTTCTTGGAGCCCAGCCAGTGTCTTCTTCCATGTGGGATTGCTTCCCCTCTCTCCTGATCATTCTGGATCTGCGCAGGACATCTTCCACAGGCTTTGGTCCTGTGAGCCGCTCTCTTTTCTTATTCACGGAAAATTCATTTTCAGGACTGTGAGCGCCAAGTTGTTAGTTTTTTGCTACACTGCATGTAGACACCTTTTATACCCCACACCTGCTTACAAGTTTGAGCCCTTTTACCTAGAATAATCTACATAAATGATACATTACTGCTGGTCGCCATTGCACAGCAATTCTTTGGGCCCCTATTGAGCTAGCTGAAGACCCAGGACATCCCTTCCACTAGGACTCCTCAATCCCAGGACACTGTACTTATATTGGTACATGAATTAAAGGGGGGCTCTGTTTAAAACAGTTTGGAACAGGCTGACACAAAAAAGTCATCTTTTTCTACCTGAAGCTAGAGGCCCCTTGCTGACCAAATTTGAAACCTTGCTTAATTTATTGTGTTTTCTTCACCTCTTGGCTCTTGAATCCCAGACGAGCCCCCAAATGTGGTGCTACCCCGGCAGGGGCCACTTGATAATATTTGTCCCCAGTGATTGCCCTGACTTTGCAAGCCTCCTGACACCTCTGACACTTTGCGGTAGATTTACTAAAACTGGAGCACTCAGAATCTAGTGCAGCTGTGCACGATAACCAATCCGCTTCTAACTTCAGCTTGTTCAGTTAAGCTTTAGCAATAAAACCTGGAAGCTGATTGGTTTCTGTGCAGAGTTGCATCAGATTTTGCACTCCCCAGTTTTAGTAAATAACCCCCTCTGGGTTCAGACATATTTCAACAGTATGAAATAATAATGCAAGAAACACCTCTATATTAGGCTCATTCAAAAAAATAGACTATAGAATGAAGGTTTAGGAGGCACATTGCCAGTTAACGCATAAAAGCAAAACACTGATAAAATGGAAATAACCATATGGCAACGGTCACAAATGATACAGTACATTGTAACTATGTAACTGCATCGGGTGGTCTTCAGGGCGGACACCAGCAGCAGAAGGGGGAAGAAAAGGCTTGTTAAATTATCTGCTCCCACTAGACCATCGGCGACACAATAGGGAATGCAAATAATTATGTGGGAAAATAAAATATATACTGTGTGTGTATGTATATGTGTGTGTGTGTGTATATATTCTGTCATAAATGGGATAGACACCCTAAGTTGAATAACAGTGGCTTAGATGCAAATAGGACCCTTTTAACTAGAAATGGCAACCTGAGATTTGTACTTGTAGTATAAATGTGTGATATCCTCCATAGGATATTACATGACTTTTGATTATTTTGTCTTTTCCTTGGAGGATATTACACGTTTTCACTATAACAGTTTTAGGTTTAGACATTATATTTAGCCACAAAGACACATTTATATATTATTTTATTATATGATATTTTTAAAATTTTCTTTGAAATATATCACACATTTTCACTATAAGTATATTACCTTATTGTGAAAGCTTTACTGAGCGGCACTATTAGTAAGACAGTATAAAATGAATTTACAAAGCTTACCATCTCCTGAGGAAGACCTTTGTGACAAAATGCATAGTGTAGTTTTTTTTCCCTTTTCAACTATCAGGCCTCATGTACACTGGGAGTGTAGGCCCGATGTAGGAGATCCTGGCATTTTGTTACAGGTGGATGGCAGGGGTGCACCATGCAGCCCAGGTCCCGACAGCCTGTAAAACTCTGGGAGGCTGAAAGCTGCTGCAACTGGATGGGGCTGGGCAGTGCACCTTGTGGTATGAATGTTTAGATAAATATGTTCCCAGGAACAAATACCTGGAACACAAGCATTCTAGGCTTTCTTCCCTGGGTGCATACTGCCCTAAATGTAAATGCCATTAGGGGTACTATCCAGCCACCGTAGGTGCCAGCCTCTCAAAGACTTATAGGCTGCCGACAGTGGGGCTTGACAGTGCACCTGTGCCTTCCACCTATACTCCCACACCTGTGTCTCTTACACCAGGGCTAAATACTTGAGCCTAGTACACACACGATCAGAAAATTGGATGAAAAATACCGCTTCTGATAATCTGATCGTTATTACACAACTTTCAAAGGCTGATTACTACAGTTCATGCAAAATTATTAGAAGGGACAAACATGAAAATTTTTCTTGTATGATAACAATGTACAATTTTCACTTAATTAGTACAGTATTTGTCCAAACAAAATAGGAAGACCAAGAACATGCATGCTCAGAAACGAAAGAATACATTACAAGTAGGGATGCCCTTTTTTTTTATCGGTGAGTACAAGTACTGATACTTTCGGTCTAGTATGCACCGATACAGAGTACCAATACTTTTGCGGTGCGACTTGCATCAATGGAAGATGTATGGACGCAAATTGCACCGCAAAGAATGGCATTCAATTTGAACAGTTTTTTTGGCAGTTTTGATACCGCACTTATTCACTTTGTTCTCTAATAAGTGATTACAACCTTGAGGTATTATTAGCATCTTCATGGGTACTCAGGAAAATGCTCGGTATCTGCACCGATACCAGTATCGGTATTGGTGCATCCCTAATTACAATACAATACATTTAGGGGCGGACTGACAACTCATGGGGCCCCCGGGCAATAGGGGATCATGGGGCCCCTGTGTCCTTGCCCAAACTCAAAAAAGCCTATGAAAAAGGTACCAGGGGCATCTCAGGGGGCCCCTACTGACCCCGGGCCCTCGGGCAATGCCCAAGTTTCCAAATGGTCAGTCTGCCCCTGAATACATTACACCACTTTTAAAGCTGTATTCTGTCATACAAGAATTTTCATAACTTTAATAACCTTTCCATTTTCTATATGCGACTAACATGTAAAAAAAAAACAAACACGATGATCATTTGTCCAATATTCTCATTATGTGGATGAGGCCTACAGTATTTGCACTGCTGTTTTTTCAATCTTTACAGCGTATCTCTCTTGTTCCGTCCAACACACACAGATAAAAGACACAACTGAAAAGAGATATGAAGTTCCTATAGAGACACCAAAGATCAACCAAAAAGCAGACCCTGTCCAGTATGATGTCCAGTTCACTAGTGAATCCTTTGGCTTCAGAGTCAGCAGGAAGTGCAATGGAAATGTTCTGTGAGTATTGAATGTGAGAAATGGAACTTTATACTTTAACATTATACTTTATCATTAAAAAAAACAAAGATTATTGGCATTTGTGACTCAGCTGACTGTCGGCATTGGCTTTGCACTGCATTATGGGTTGTTCTATATTTTTGTAGTTGAACTTGTTACGTTTTCGGTAAAAAGTTTGGGATTTGCAAACTGAGTCAACCCAGTAGATTCCCTGTGAACCTGAACCCCAGTCTGATTTGAAGGTATGAGCAATTAGTATCATACCCTCTTGTATCCCAAAATTCATGGTTCATTGTTAAATAGGTAAACATGTCTTGCCCTTTAAGATTTTATAACAATTTAGAAATTAGATGTTCAAGATGCAGATTACTTTTAGGTACATTATAATGCTGTTTAACCCCCTCTGGTGCTAGGAAGTCAACTGCAGGTCTAGCAAAGGGAACACCAGCTGATATTTCGAAGAGCTTTGTCCACCTGCCCACTACTACTTAAAGGGACACTGCTCTGGTGCTATAAAGAAGTTACTGATTTTATTGCTACTACTTGTTGCTACTGTCTTAGGCTGAAGTCCACTGTTTGTTTCAAACAAGAGCTCCAATGCAGCTTGTCCTGAAGATCAGACAAAGTACTCAATGTACATAGGTCCTATTCTGGAGTATCCCAGTTATCTCCCTCATCCTTATCCCAATTCTTCAAAAAAATAAAAACAAAAAAAAAACAACACCCCTAGATTAATTATCGGAAGAAACCAGTGAATGAGCCTATGTGCCTGGCTGTGGGGCAAAGTATTTGGTTAGGACCTGGACAGTATTCCTGTGTCTCCTACAGCAGTAGCACTACACACAGATTAGACATAATAGGTAGCAAGAGGGGGAGGGGATCATTTTAAATATAGTGTTAAAATATGTGCAATTTTCATACAATGTTTCCCAAATGAAAACCACATTCAAAGTTAGAATTTAATTTAAAGAGAAAAAAATCTATCCCTGCTCCTTCAGATACTTTGATCACTACAGTCGAAAACTAAGTTCGATTTGACCCTATTAGAAAATTTAACAATTGTTCTGAAAATGGAAATGTTTGCATGAAATTCTACTAGTGTATGGCCAGCTGTAGAAATAAAGCAGATGTAAGATAATATTCAAAGATAAACGGTGAGCGCTGCAGAGATGGAAGCAGCTAGTACAAAAAGAAAGTGACAAAATCTCAATACCAAAGTAAATGAAAAACAGTGCAGCACATAAAGAAGCTATCAAAGTGAATAGTGTAGAAAATCAATGAATAAAAGAAGATAAATTATATCCAAATGTGTCAGTGTAACCAACAATGGAATATTAAACAGTATAGTCCTTCCAGTATATATCTGTATGCTTATGGTGCCAATCACGATAAACAGTGTTCAATCCCACCAAGTGCTCTTTATCCAGTGCAACGTCCTTCACCACTTCGCACTCACCAGAAAGTTACTTGGTCCAGTAACATGTATATCTTAACCATGAGGTCTATGTCATGCACTCTCCAGCAGGGGCGGACTGACAGCTCATGAGGCCCCCAGGCAATAGGGGATCATGGGGCCACTGTGTACTTGCCCAAACTCAAAAAAGCCTATGAAAAAGGTACCAGGGGCATCTCATGGGGCCCCCTACTGACCCTGGGCCCTCGGGCAGTGCCCGAGTTTCCAAATGGTCAGTCCACCCTGCTCTCCAGTGACTTTACCAGCCTGGTTAGAACCCTAAGAAGAGGTGCTCCACCTCCACCCTGAGGATGGCGAAGGATCTTCCCCATCAGCCGCAGCCATGTTCGCTTCTTCCTACCAGGCCCCCGCCTGATGCCCTGCACTCTCTGGCTAGTAGGAAGAAGCTATCATGGCTGCGGCTGCCAGGGAGAAGCACCACTATAGAGTGCAGTACTGAAAATAGCAGCACAGGGAGAAAGAAGGGTCCAAGCAGGAGGAAGGTATAACCAGGGCTGGTCCACTGCAGAATGCAGAGGCGGCAAAGCTTCCTGCCTTGGGTGCTATGATGTGGAGGGGGGGGGGTGTAGCTGGATCAGCAGCTGGGACAAGATCCTTTTCTCATATTTTTATAATTGGAGACATTGAGTTTCTAAAAGGTTGAGGCCAGTCAGTTAGTAAAATATTCACTCTGGAAATATTCAAGCAAGGAAATAAGTAAATAATACATATTAATCATCTTTAATAGTGTAATAGTGTCATCATCATTCACAGGGCTGTTTTAGTGATATTTAGGAAAAAAAATAGAGATTAATTATGTAAATGAATTTATATGTTTTTATTATAGGGTGGATACCAACGCTGCCCCAATAATCTTTGCTGATCAATTCATACAAATGTCCACATCTCTTCCATCTTCCTATATATATGGCCTTGGGGAACATCTCACTTCCATTAACTTAGACCTCAACTGGAAAAAACTCACATTCTGGAACAGAGACCTGATACCGCGGGTAAGGTGAAGGAAGTAATATACAGTTGCAAGAAAAAGTATGTGAACCCCTTGGGATTACGTGGAGTTTTGCATGAATTGGGCATAAAATGTGCTCTGAACGTCATCTAAGTCACAACAATAGAAGAACACAGTCTGCTGAACATAATACTACACAAACATTAGATGTTGCCATGGTTTAATTGCACATAACATGTAAACATTCACAGTGCAGGGAGGAAAAAGTATGTGAGGCCCTAGCTTAATGACTTCTCCCAGAGCTAATTGGAGCCAGGAGTGAGCCAACCTTGACTCCAATCAGTGTGATGATATTGGATGTGTTGCTGACAGCTGTCCTGCCCTTAAAAAACACACACCTGTTTTGGGTTTACTGGTTTCAAGAAGCACTGTCTGATGTGAACCATGCCTCGCAGAAAAGAGCTCTCAGAAGACCTACGATCAAGAATTGTTGACTTGCATGAAGCTGGAAAGGGTTACAAAAGTATCTCCAAAAGCCTTGATGTTCATGTGTCCACGGTAAAGACAGACTGTCTACAAATGGAGAAAGTTTAGCACTGTTGCTACTCTCCCTAGGCGTGGTCGTCCTGTAAAAATGACTGCAAGAGCACAGCGCAGAATGCTGCATGAGGTAAAGAAGAATCCCAGAGTGTCAGCTAAAGACCTACAGAAATCTCTGGCACATGCTAACATTTTTGTTGACACATCTACAATAAGGAAAACATTAAACAAGAATGGAGTACATGGGAGGACACCACGGAGGAAGCCATTGCTGTCCAAAAAGAAGATTGCAGCACGTTTGAAGTTTGCAAAAGAGCACCTGGATGTTCCACAGCACTACTGGCAAAATATACTGTGGACAGATGAAACCAAGATTGAGTTGCTTGGGAAGAACACACAACACTATGTGTGGAGAAAAAAAGGCACAGCACACCAACATCAAAACCTCATCCCCACTGTGAAACATGGCGGAGGGAGCATCATGGTTTGGGGCTGCTTTGCTGCCTCAGGGCCTGGACGGATTGTTGTCATTGATGGGAAAATGAATTCCAGAGTTTATCAAGACATTTTGCAGGAAAACGTACGACCATCTGTCCGCCAACTGAAGCTCCGCAGAGGATGGGTGATGCAACAGGACAATGACCCAAAGCATACAAGTCATTCAACAAAACAATGGCTGCAACAGCACAGAATATGCCTTCTGGAGTGGCCCAGTCAGAGTCCTGACCTCAACCCCATTGAAATGCTGTGGCATGACCTTATGAGAGAGCGATTCACACCAGACATCCCAAGAATATTGCTACACTGAAACAGTTTTGTGAAGAGGAGTGGTCCAAAATGACTCCAGATCGTTGTGCAGGTCTGATCTGCAACTACAGGAAACGTTTGGTTGAGGTTATTGCTGCCAAAGGAGGGTCAACCAGTTATTAAGTCCAAAGGTTCACATACTTTTTCCTCCCTGCACTGTGAATGTTTACATGTTATGTGCAATTAAACCATGGCAGCATCTAATGTTTGTGTAGTATTATGTTCAGCAGACTGTGTTCTTCTATTGTTGTGACTTAGATGACGTTCAGAGCACATTTTATGCCCAATTCATGCAAAACTCCACGTAATCCCAAGGGGTTCACATACTTTTTCTTGCAACTGTATGATAGCAAATATGTTAATTATTATATATATATATATATATATATATATTCATTTATTTTGTACAGAATATATTTAGAAAAAAAACTGTTGAAATACTTAGGCTGCTATTATTAAATACCAATATTGTTATTAATTTCTGCGCAGCCTTCAGAAGCAGTTGTTTCTGACCCCGTCTTAAAGATGAAAATAAAGAGAACTAAAGAAAACAAAGCATACCAGGAAATTATTATTAAAATGGTGACAAAACCAAATGCTACAATAACATACTGTAAAATTGTATATAGCACTCAGAAACTGTGCACAATAGTCTCAAGAACAGTAGATTTATCCAGCTTGACACATACACTATAAAGGATGATTTCCTGACTTTTCTATAGGAGAAATGATGATCCCCTCTATTGCTGTTAAGCAGGCCATACACTAGTAGATTTATGTATACAATTTCTCAGGACATTCGCTGACATGACAAATGTTCAAAAGTACTTCAAAATTTTGGTTGCTTTTAACATTTGATTTTGGAATGAATATACTGTCTTGAACTAAAACCATATTCATAGTTAGAAATGTGGTCCTTTTAGATACATTTTCCACACCACTCCTTCAAGTAAAGCCGAATTACAGAATTAGCTTTAGTCATTCACAGTTCTAAAAGCTCCTCTCCTGTACTGAAATTGTTTATTCTGATTTCACCACACACTGTGAGCTTCTTTCACTGTCACAGGCTTTGTGACTTTCATATCTTGAGTTGCTTGATGTCACATATGTAGCACTACCGCCTTGAGGGCTGCTGAGTAATTTTCGGGTTCCCTGTGTAGCACCTCTAGATAGCCAGGGGGAGCTAATTATTTTTTTTTTTTAGAGGCTGAATAGAAGCCTGGGCATGAGTCAGCCTGGGTGTGCTTCAGTCAGGTCATCTTGGGTCAGGGTTGAGGGCTCTGCAGATCAGTTCTCTGATACCTCTCCCTACTTTAGAGAATTGAGAAGTTTCTAGAAGGCAGTGGGTGGGGGTGAGAAGGGGCTGATCTGCATACTTAAGGGATCCTGATCAATTCCCAGGAAGGAGGCTTGGCATGGGGTCAGGACAGTCCTCAAACATGACTGAACCTGCTCAGGAGCAGGAAAGTTTGGGTGGAAGATGAAGTGAGAGACTGGGATGCAGGAGCCTGGGAGGGGCCCAGTGGGAAGGGGCCTACCTCCAGGCTTAAACTTAAAGGAGGATCTCTCATCCTCGGCAGTCCCCTGAGAGAGGATTACCTGTGCAGCAGGGAAGGAGCCAGCCTAGCTGAAGGAAGCTACCAACCCAACAAGCGTACAAATTGAGAAGGTATTGGGTTGAGGTGGTAGAGACCCTTAATGGAATTTTAGGGATTAACCCATTGGTTTACTTGGCCACATAGATTTATCCATAACTGATCAGAATCTATGGCTTACCGTTTTGAGAGTGTTATTTATAGCCCTCAGATTAATTGTACTCAGGTGGACCTCTCCTCGGCCCCTTTCTCTCTGTGAATGGATAACCGAGCTTAATAAATATATTCTTTATGAAAAACATATTTTAGGAACCCCTATGTGGAAATTTGAAGCAATATGGTTTAAATGGTTAGAGTATATGTATCCTGACTTTTGATTTTTGTCTTTATATGTTGATCACGCTTCTTTCCCTTTTGGGCTATTAGGCCATCCCTCTTCCCTCTCTCTCTCCTAACCCTCCCCTTCCCTCCCCATGGTTTTTATTTATATTTTTACTTTCGGATTTTGTTTCGCCCTGCTAGGCTGGTGTTTGTTGTTTTTGTATTTATGTCTGTAAAATGTGGAAAAAATATTTTAAAGATCTGAATTTAAACCCAACAGGCTCATAGGAGAGGAAGAGTGAGTAGTTCTACACCCCCTGAGCCGGATAAGGGGAAAGGGCATCTGGGTGGAAAACCTAACAAGCCCCCATTTGGGACTTTTGATTTGCAGAGACAGATTCTGGGACCTCTTGCCCAGGGATTTACTCTGTACAGCTGGATGAGAAAAGGATTCATCTGGTGTCTGGGTGGTACATCGGGAGAGGCTGAAGAGTTCTCCAGGAAGAAACCCTTTTTGCTATTGTAGCGCTACCCCCTTAGGAGTTGCTGAGTTATTATCAGGCTCCCTGTCACTTTGGACCCCTCTCTGAAAGCAAAACCCCTGCTGACACCACAGTACTCTTCTGACCAGAGTAAATTATCACCAGAAAATAGACTCACACACAGAATACAGTGAACTGATATGATTTTATATTAAACTTGACTGTAAGCTTGGTCAAACAGGATAAAGTGGTATATGTGTACGTAATGGCAATTACCACTCCTAACAACTCTAAGCAAACAAACCTGAAGTGGTTCTAGTCCCCAGTGAGCAAGGAAACTATCAAAATGTTGAACTAGCTCACATTAGGCTCTCAGGATCTGATGGCAAGGTTTAAATCTGAGATAGGAAAGAGTTCTTTAATTTCCGCACTCCAGGTCACCTGCTGGCAGAATGTTTCACTGAACAGGGTAACAAGGGTAGCAAGGCTAGCGGTCAGCGGCTCCTCCTTGCCTCTTTCCTAGCTCTGCAGCCTGGTCCAGTACTCCGGTAGATAGCACAACTCTCTCTCTCCACTTCTGCTCTCCAGTTCTCTCCTTTCTCACTTCTTGTCTAGTCTCCCGTATTTCTGTATATAAATGCCCCCGCCCACAAGCCAGCTCCTTTGGGAAATGTAGTCCTCTTATACACTGCTCCCCAGCAAAGTCCTGTGGTTCAGCATTCAAGGTCTATGGGGCTGTTCCACAGAAAATAAGTGCCACTGATTGCAGGACACTGCCATCTTGTTTTTCTCTTAACAACCTGCAAATTGCATTATAGCAAGGTGTTACACAGTATAGATATTTGTACATAGTTGCTAAGGAGTTGTCCTCAGTTGCAGTTTCCTTGGGCTACGGGATGTACACCCCTCAACCGCATCCAAGTTCAATACCCCTAATTAAAAAAAAAAAAAAAGCTCAAGGACTGTTTGTTTTTTACTGTCTCCAGACACCACCTTAGAACTTTGGCCAGAAAAAACCTCTGGCTGCAATCCTAAAATAGACTCACAAACAGTTTAGAGTGAACTGATATTTTGGTTATACTGTGGTCAAAATGCAAGCACAGTAGAACAACAAGAAAGTATGTGCATGGGATAACAGTTAATACTTTTCAAATCAATTCTAGATGTCCTGAAATTCAGAATCTAAATGGTAACCCGAGCCCTGAGATGTTTCTTCCTAAATGAGCAGAAGGTGAAACAATTAAATTGGCAAGCTAATTCACATTGGGCTCTCAGGTACTGGAGGCTGGGTTTAATTT